TAATACTAGCAGAAAACCTCACAGACCTGGAACACCTACTAAGGAAAAGCAAAGAGGAAAGTGCAAAGGCAAGCTGAAGGCTGAACATAAAGAAAACAAAAATAATGTCCACAGAGAACTTACACACATTCAAACTAGAAAATGAGGAAACAGAAATAGTAAAAGAGTTCTCCTATCTGGGATCAAACATTGATAGAAATGGGGACTGCAGTCAGGAAATCAGAAGAAGACTAAGAATTGGGAGGCTGGCTATGAAAGAACTAGAAAAGATCCTAAAATGCAAAGACATACAACTCAGCACAAAAGTCAGAATCATACAAGCCATTGTATTCCCTATGACCAGGGATGGATGTGAGAGCTGGACTGTGAAGAAAGAAAACAGGAGGAAAATCAATTCCTTTGAGATAATGTGGGGCTGGAGAAGAGTGATGTGGATCCCATGGAGAGCCAAAAGGACAAACAAATGGGTCCTAGAGCAGATCAAGCCAGAGAGATCCCTGGAAGCCAAGATGACCAAACTGAGATTGTTGTACTTTGGACACATCATGAGAAGAGAGGATTCTTTCGAAAAAAAACAATAATGCTGGGAAAGGTGGAGGGAAGGAGGAAGAGAGAAAGGCCCCATGCCAGATGGATGGACTCTATGAAAGAGGTCACTAGGGGGAATAAGGGGAGGCAGGGATTAAGCAGAGCAGGGGAGGATCCATAGGGTCTTGGAAATGTCTCATCCATAGGGTCCCCATGGGTCAAGATCGACTCAAGGCCAGTTGAGAACAAACGTGTGTGTGTGTGTGTGTGTGTGTATATGTAATGCATAATATATACACACATTTATATATATACACACACACACATGCATAACCATAAATATGTCTGTGTGTATATATGTGTGTTTGTGTGTACAGACATATACACATATTTATATACATACATAGTATATGTGTGTATAATGTATATATAAACACACACACATATATACACATATGTATAACCATATATATGTGTGTAATGCTTATATACATATATATGTATACATAAACACACATATATATATACACATATGCATAACCATATGTGTGTATAAGTGTACATAGTGTGAGATATATATATATATACACACACACACACACTATATATACACACACACATATGCATATGCATATACAGTATATGTGTGTGTAATATATACACACACATATTTATATACACATTTGCATAACCGTATACATGTGTTTATGTGTATATGTGTGCATAGTGTGTGTGTGTGTGTGTGTATATATATATATATATATGCACACACACAAACACACACATATATACACATATGCATACATGTATGGTTGTAAGCCGCCCCGATTGCACCGCAGAGGGGTGAGTTATAAATTATTATTATTATTATTATTATTATTATTATTATTATTATTATTATTATTATATACACACACATATTTATATAAACATATGCATAACCATATATATATGTATGTGTATATATGTGTGCATAGTGTATGAGTGCGCACACACAAACACACACATATTTATATACACACATGCATAACCATATATATGTGTGTGTGTGTGTGCGTATACACACACACATATATATGGTTATGCATGTATATATAAATGTGTGTGTTTGTATATGTATGTGCTTGTGTGTATACACTACACACACATTATATATATGCACATACACACATCATATATCTCTACCTATGTTGTATACATACACACATATACATACACACGCATATATATGGTTATGCATATGTGTATATAAATGTGTGTGCTTGTATATGTGCGTGTGTATACACGACGCACACATTATATATATGCACATACACACATCATATATCTCTATCTATATTATATACAGATACACACATATATAGATATACACACAGTTATATATATGTGTATATAAATATGCATGTGCTTGTATGTGCATGTGTATACATGACACACACATTATATATATGCACATACACACATCATATATCTCTATCTATCTATCTAATATACATATACACACACATACACACACACACATATATAGGGTTATGCATATCTGTACATAAATATGTGTATCTTTGTTTATATGTATATAATATATATCTATATATTATATACTATATAATCTATATAGTATATATATATATATATATATATATATATATATATATACTATCTATACTATATAGTATATATATACTATCTATATACTATCTATATACTATATAGATAGTATATAGATATATACTATCTATATAGTATATATCTATATCTATATATTATATATGTATATAATATATAGATATATAATGTATGTATGTGCATATATATAATGTGTGTGTAGTGTATACACACACATTATATATATGCACATACATACATTATATATCTATATATTATATACATATACACACACATACATACATACATACATACAAACAGGTATGTATCCACTACACTACACAGACAAGTGGGGAGGGAGGCTCCTGTTCTGGAAGGCTCACCCTCCCCCTGGCTCCCTTTTCCTCTCCTCCTCCACCATTTTCTTCCCAGCGCCCCAATCTCTCCCTTTCCCCACTCGCTCACTTACCCACCAGCCTTCCCTTGGAGGACTCCGCCAGGGGGCGCTGCAAGTGGGAAAGGGATAAGCTCCACCGGAAAAGGCATGACCGAAAGTAGGAGTCTTCATGGTATCACTCTGAGGCCCTTCTAGGAATCTAAAACTCTTTCACTTTAACCCTACTACTGCCATGCTGCAGAATTAATACACTTGGGGCCTTTGCAGACTGGCAGAAATAGTGCACATTAAATTGAGGCACTGCCCTGGCTCAGTGCTAGGGAATCATGGGAATTGTTGTTTTTTTTCTGAGACATTGAGCCTTCTCTGTCAGAGAGCTCTGGTGCCACAATAAACTACAGTTCCCATGATTCCCTAGCACTGAGCCAGGGCAGTGCCTCAATTTAATGTGCACTATTTCTGCCAGTCTGCAAAGGCCTTTGGATACCAATTTCCCGGCCATGGCTGTATCTGGGAATTGTAGTTTCTGAGGTGTTCGAGATTGAGCCAGTGTTTTATAGTGGTTTGAGAGTTGGACTATGACTCTGGAGGCCAGGTTTCGAATCCTGGCTCGGCCATGTAAACTCGCTGGGTGGCCTTGGGCAAGTCACACACTCTCAGCCTCAAGTCACACACACACACTCAGCCTCAAGTCACACTCTCTTAGCCTCAGGCAAACTCCATTCTGAAGAAACTTGCTAAGAAAACCCCCATGGGTCTCC